GCCCATATCTGCCAGATGTCTTCCACCATCTCTCATTTTCTCCATACCTCAAGCATATTTTTCAGAAGTCCCACTCCTGTCAATGGGGTATTGTCTTCACAATAAATGTATTTTAGGTTTAGAGTGCCATGTGCTTCTTTCAGTCAACCAAACAATGGCTGCTTATAACCCCAAAGAAAATGGTGGAGACCTATAGAAAGTTCAGACTGAGAATCGCCAGTTGCAAATACCTAGCAAGTCAGCTCTCTTTCCTCTTACCTTTACCCTCCCCATCATAACTACCTTTAGGAGTCTTCTAGTCCAGAAGTAATGTTTTAAAATGTCAATTGCTACAGGAGGGGTTTTTAAATGATCAGTCCCAATTTGAAAAAGGTCCTGTCATTCAGGATCTTCTATGCCATTTAAAAGCAGGAGTTGCTAAACCATGTGTGTGGGGTGGGGTGGGGTGGGGGTGTTAAGCGTGCCATCCAGCCTGCAAAGGGTTAACAGAAATGGCTTTCTTTATCATTATTCTATTGTTCCCTCTCCACCTCTCTCCCAAATCTGGCTCCACTTGCATTGCCATCCTACCCCAGTGTTTAGATGTGTCCTTAATGCCTTTCCCAATAATTGATCTAGTCAGAGTCACAGCAGAAGTGCCTATGACAGAGGTTTGCTTGCCAGTGGTGCATCTGATGTGGCATATAAGCAAGAACTCTGCAGGAAACTTCAGTAGGAAGGGGATCACAGAGATCTGAAATAATATACGCACTTGAACAGAGCAGCGGAGCAGCGATCGGGCCAGAGTACGTAGCATCAATACATTAGCAGTGAACTGAAGGGTAAGTCTATTCAAAACCCTACTCTGACCTATTCAATGGGACTTATTCCCAGCAAAGTGTCTTTCAAATTGCCCTACTTAGGCCCCGGTCACACGGGCCGGATATCACGGGGGGGAGGTGTGGCTAATTGCCCTGGCACAGTTTGATCCGCAATTACACAATCAGACGTGCTGGCGGCACACCACGGGTCCTTCCCTCGGCGCCAGCAGGTAAACGAGGGTGGCGATCACACAATGATCCTGCAGCGCGGCAAAGAAGATGATCCTGCAGCGTGGCGCAATCACACCAGCAATGGCTAGGCGCCGCTGCCGTGACAAATGGGGTCATTTTTTTTAAAGCTGAAACTGCACTTTCGCTTCCCTCTTTGTGCGCATGCGCCGTTGGGTGCTTGTGCGCATCTTGTAGAGACTTGGGGGGGGGAACCTGTTTGCGAAGGGACATGGGCGGGCGCCGGATGCCACCACCGGAAACGCGATCAGACGCCAGCCCTTGCCCCGTGGTTTCCGGAAACTAGTACCTTGGAGGTACTAGTTTTTAACTCCGCATCTTCGGCGGGAAGCGTCGGGTTTGCCACGGGAGCTCTACACTTTGCAGATGTTGGGGTGTGATCGAGCCCGGAAAATCCGCCTATCTTCCATCTCTGTAGCATGGCTAATGCTCCATGTGACCGCAGCCCCAGTCTATCTTTGGAACAGAATGCTAGAAGCAGGACATTAATACAGTGCTGAGAATTATCTGGGGTTTGAACTCCTGCAGAAGACCAAGTTAAAAGGAATCAAAGAAAGGCAAAGATAGAAGATAGAAGAATTGCCCAAGAAACAACGCACAGCGTTATGGACTAGGTTTATGACTAAGACTTCAGCTTTTTAGGTGCCTCAGAATTTCTCACAAAATAAACAGACCCTGTTCAGAGGAGGTAGTAATCACAGGGCTGAGCCAGTTAGCTGGTCTTTTCCGTGCTCCATGGAGCGCATGCAGTGGCGGGAGGTCGGCTGGAGGTAGATGGGGGAGGCCAAGATCTCCCATGCAGGGAGCACACGTAGGAAGTGCAATGAGTGGTGGGCCAGGTCACACCATCAAACACTACATAGAAGAAGCCCTCAGTGATGGATGACATCTTCATAGTGGCAACAACACAATTGAATTGGAGAAGGAGTTTGCTCGAGGGGCTCTGGCCCACTCATGCTAAATGCCAGATTTAAACTGCAGTTTTTTTGTTTACGTAGAGTTTAGATTTCACTCCTATCTTCCAAGAGACTATGGGCAGCATTTGTGGCACCCCATTTAATACACACAAAAACCTTGTGAAGCAGGCTTGGCTGAGAGAAAGCTGCTTAAGGTCATCCAGTCATCTTCATAGCTGAACTGTCTGTCCTTGCTACTTTCTCCGCTACACCCCATAAAGCACACAAAAGTAAATCTAATTCCTGTACCTTTAACTGGGTTGGGCTGACAGGTATAGGGATTTAGGGGGGGAAGCCTGAGAAGGTCTACTCAGAAGTAAATTCCATTTATTCAATGGAGTTTCCTCCCAGGAAAGTGTTCTTAGGCTTGCAGCCATCCTGTGAGTTATAGGGTTTAGGATTGCCAGCTCTAGATTGGGACATACCTGGAGATTTTGGGGGTGAAGCCTGAGGAAGGCAGGGCTTGGGGAGCGAAGGGAGCTCAGCAGGATACAATCCCATAGAATCCATCCTTCAAAGCAGCCATTTTCTTCAGGGGAACTAAATGTTGCTTGGAGACCAGTTGTAATTCCAGGAGATTTCCAGGCTCCACCTGAAGACTGGCAGCCCTAAGTAGCCTTCCAGAGCACAATCCAGCCAAAGTGAACCATTTTTCCCAACTATTTTACAAGAAGATTCAAGTCTGTGTTTAACTTTCCCACTGAAATCAACAGGAACTTCAAAGGTGCTTAACTTTGGTTAGATCAGGAGTCCCTAGTCTTTTTGAGGCTGCAGGCACCTTTGAAATTCTGGAACAGAGTAGTGGGATAAAGCATAAAATGGCTGCTGCAGAAGGCAGAGCCAGCCACAGAGCACCAGGGAGTGAGATTATGCATAATACATCTAATAATAACTCCTTAACATTTCAGACACAAGCTCTGTTTAATGGGATACCATTTAAAATGATCATATTGTTTAAAAATATTTTCTTGCATACACACAGCTTCAGTTGTGCAGTGAAGACCCTTGCGCTGTGGTGGCAGCTGATGCCAAAGAAATTTTTTGAAAATCCACACTGCCAATCAGATCTCCAATGGCCAATCAGAAGCCCTGCTGGCAAAAAAAACACATTTGGCAAGACCCATTTTCTAAAAGCGGGGGCCAGGAAAGATGTCAGCATGAGCCATGCTGGAAACTCCTGGATTAGGTGTTACTAATAAATAATTGCCTTAGCTACTCTAGATACCCTAGACCTACCAGGAAAAGTACTTGGATAGGTCACAAGCAGTGTTCCCTCTAAGCTGAGTTAGTGTGAGCTAGCTCACAGTTTTTTAGCCTCCAGCTCACACATTTCTGCCTTACCTCAGGAAGGATGGCTCCAGAGCAAACTAATTTATGCAGTAGCCAAATTGCTTGCTCACAACTTTAGTACCAGTAGCTCACAAAATAGAATTTTTGCTCACAAGACTCCACAGCTTAGAGGGAGCATTGGTCACAAGGTTCTGTTTCTTCTATATTTTGCTTTTAACTGTACATAGTAAGGTACAACAGCACAAAAGAAGGTATAACTGCCGGTGATTATGATTAAAAGAAATTATACATGAACACAGAGCAAGCAATTACTAGAACATTGATGTAAATGCTACTTCTCTGTCTTAAAACTCAGTATGCTGTTGCTTCATAGCACCAGACAACATTTCCAAGGCACAAGTGGACCAGAATGTGGGGCTCTAGGAGTTCCACTGTTACACATCTGGAATGGCCTCATATGAGGGAGAATCTGAAGAGGTGACAAGGAATGGATATACTGTTCTGTATGTGTGCATATCCTAGCCCTGATATATTTTAACACCATTGCTTCTATTACACAGTGGCCCATGTGGCAAAGTATGCTCCAGTGCCAGGCAAGGGTTGCCAGGTCTGGTTTGGAAAATACCTGGAGACTTTGGGGGTGGATCCAGGAGAGGGCGGGGTTTGGGGAGGGGAGGGGCCTCAGCTTGGTACAATGCCATAGAATCCCCCCCTTCAAAGCAGCCATTTTCTCCAGGGGTGCTGATCTCTGTCAGCTGGAAAGGAGTTGTAAAAGCAGGAGATCCCCAGGCCCCACCTGGAGGCTGGCAACCCTAGCCAGGCAGTAGGGGGAAGAGAGGAGAATCTGTGCAGGCACGGTCTCATATATGTACTGCTGGGCAATATGCAGGACACAGAGCAAGACCTGGCAGATGCACTCCAGATTCCAGGCCAAGGAGTTTTAGCAGCAGCTCGTTCCAGCTCTTGGAGGATTGGCTACATTAGGGGTGTGTGACCTAATATGCAAAGGAGTTCATGCTACAAAAAGAGCCTGAAAGGAGCCTTGACTTGTGAAAGCTTACACCCCGAAAATCTTGTTGGTCTCGAAGATCTTGCTACTAGACTCGAATCTAGCTATTTCTATCAGTTCATGTGGCACAAATTAGCATCATCAGTTTGCATGAGCTGCTAAAACTAGTTTCCAGTCTAGCTCATGGAGGAAGCTGTACTTCCTTATGTTGCTTAGGTTGCTCTATGTGGGGTTCCATGTCAAAAAGAGAGAGCAGATCCACGTAAATCCAATGTTTACTTTTCTCCACCTAGGGCAACTCCACAGTCTGAAGCCGCAGAACTAGAAACACAACAGCACAGTCAGAAATATTGATAATGTACTATTCAACACTCCATTTCACGTTTTATATTAGTTCCAGAGTACCAGAGTCTAGGCATTCCAGCCCGGGTTTTACCTATGACTCTGGATAAATAGGGCAAGCTATCAGGGAAGACTCCCGTAGGCCTTACGTTTCTTTCTTTGTTGATTACAAAGAAGTTATATTTTGTTTGCTCGGGAAGACCCTCAGATATTCCTGAGTGATAAATGCATTATACAGAAAGCAACAGTCTAGCTTTGCAAAGAACCACGTTGCGTTCAGGCGGAGCTCCGAATAAAGACTGCGCTAAACGTCATCGCGCACGCACTCCCTCCCTCATCTTCCAAACTTACTGCGCAGGACCGTGGCTGACGAGGCAGGGCTGCGCTCACGCCTTACTTCCCCCTTTTCGCGGCTGTCAGTCATGGTGAGTTGGGTGTCCGTTATGGGAAGGGCCGCGGCCTCGCACCGAAAGGGCGGGAGAGAAGACACGTCTGTACGGGCAGGCGCGCTCCCACCCTGTTCGGGGGCCAACAGCAAGACGTTTCCTCGCCTGAATGGGAGCAATATGGGAAAGCGGTGTTGAAATTCTGTGGGATTTCGGGCCAAGCAAATTTTAAGTACGGGGAGTCGGATCTGTTACCGACATAGGGCGGGTCTGGTTTCTCATTCTCTCCCCGCCCCTGGTGAACCCTTTTTCAAACAGCTACACTCAGCAGCTCAGCCTTTTCCTAACATGAAGATACATCCATGGGAGCAAATGAACCTCACCTATTGATATACTGCTTGAGGGGCTTTGAATGGTTCAGTCTCAAGAAAATATGTAGACTAATACACGGAATGTATTTCTGAACATGTGCAGAATTCATTCTTTTCATCACTGATGAACTGAGTATCCCCTCTCATACAAGCCTGAGATCATTCTTGCATAGGGCGTTCGGTGTGTCTTTGAAAAGTGTGCAAAGCTGCCTTGTACTGAGCCAGGCCAGCTCTCTGACTACCAGCAGTTCCCTGTGTTTTTGGTGGAAGAATGATTGTTCCAAATACCTGCTATCTTTATAACTGGCCAAAGGAGTGATTTGACAATAGGCATCTTTTGTGTGCAAAGCATGTGCTCTGCCGTGTTTTGTGCTTTAAGATCTGTATACAAACAGAATTTCAGCATGTGACCATGTAGTTTCCTTCTGGCTAAAGAGCAGCAATGCTGTGTAGAGGTTCTGGCCCAGGGTAGGCAAACTCTGGCATAAGTGCAGAACTACGGTAGTTTATAAATGGTATTATATTGCCATTTATTATGCCAATACTTGATTGTTGTACTGTTCAAGCAGTCAGGTACTGACCTTTGCTATAGGCTAGTGGTCAGAAAGCTAATGCAGGATCACTGGTGACAAGTTTGCCAATTAGTAGGATTTTGCTAACAAAATGTAACACCCCCCGACCTTTCTTTGAACATGTATCTTTGAGCTTTGAATCAATGAAATAAGAGACCATCCTAAGACTGAGATTCTATACACATATATTTGGAAGTAAGTTCCATTGAACTTTTGAGTAAACATGTAGGATTGTCCTGAACATTTCAGTCACAACTATGATCTCTAGTCTATCTGTCTACTTGCTGCAGGCTTTATGTAGGAAGTCTCTCTTCAGGTAATACTAGTAGTTCCATTAGTAGAATTGGAATAGTTACTTTAATTACACTTCTAAGAATTATCACAGGACTTACTAGGTTCTGTTGTCAGTGGCATCAGAATTGCATGAATTGTCATCAGTGCTAAATTACATCACATTACCCACCTCTTTCTCATGAATAGAGATCATTGGCTAAAACTTTAATTTTAGTAATGTTTGGCTTCTTTGGAAGAACATTTCATGTGAGTTGTTGTAAAGATTATCAGCAGCATCATGTTTCCCATTACAGCATAATTTTAAAAAGCAGTATTGGTTCATGGTCCTGTCCTTGGGATTATCCTCAGATCATAAAATTCTCAGTATGTAATCTTTCAAAACAGAAGCTTGACTTGTGTAGCATAATTTTTTTGCTTTTTTTTCTTGTTTTCAGGGTTTTTTCTGATGTAGCCTAAAGAGCAGCTATGGAAAAATGGAGCTTAATGGCAGTTGCAACCTTATTGGGACTTACTGTCCGTTGGGCTGTGTCACTTGGTTCTTATTCAGGTATTGCATATTCATAGTGCTCAGAAATGAAATGTCTGTTAGGAATTATGTTAAGAACTCTGCAGAGGAACAAGTGTAATATATGGGCTATTGAGTCCATATTGTGTAGAGGTTAAATTGTTAGACTAGAATCTGGGAGATCCAGGTTTGAATCCGCACTCTGCCATGGAAGCTTGCTGGGTGAACTTGGGCCAGTTACACACTCTCAGCCTAATCTACCTCACAGGGTTGTTGTGAAGATAAAATGGAGGAGAGGAGAAGAATGTAAGCCATTCTGGGTCCCCATTAGGGAGAACAAGTTGGATATTAGTGAAATAAACAAATAATTGAGATTTTAATGTATGTATTGTCAGCCACTTACCAAGGGTAACAGTTCTTGGTACTTCGCTCCAATGCTCAGAACTGTCCTGATAGACAGATACAGATATCAATACAATTTTTAATGTTAAATGGAGGCTTTTTATTATTGTGATTTTAAAATTATATTTTAGCTTTTTGTTGTTTATTTCTTTTTGTAGACGTGGCCTTGTGAGCCTGGAAGTATTGGGAATGTGGAATATAAATGTTTAAATAAATGATAAACATATAGAGACAATTTTAGCACACACAGATATGTATAACTAGATGGAATGGCGTGAGGTTATCCAGGTTGGCAGTTATTTTGTCTACATAAAAGTCTGGTGTATGTGGTGATAAAATTATGCCAGGAAAATGCTATATTTTATGCTGGTTTCTTGTACTTATATGACCTTCTCAATCATGTCACATCCTTAGTTAGCTTAAAGTACAAAACCCCAAAATGGTTGTTTTTAAATCAAGTATCAACTAAAAACTAGCTAGAGTATCTTTTTTTGTATATTTTTAAAATATGTGTGTGTGTGTGTGAGAGAGAGTGCACCTGGGGGTCATGGCAATCTCTGGCTACTGATCCCTACTGGGGGCCTGGAGGATATTCAGAGAGGTGGCTGAACAAAGCCTGCCCCCACCTCCCGTGTTTCAAGGAGATCTCCCATCCAAGTATTTGTCAGAGTCAATCCTGCTTAGCTTCCAAGATCTGATGAGATCGGGCTTGCCTGGGCTAGTCAGATCAGGGCCTAGCTAGAGTATCTTGATGTTTGATCTCTTACTTTATGTTGTACTATTAACATGTGAGAACCAGTGTTCTTTAGGCACTAAATACGAGTGTGTGATAGTTCCCAAACTTATTATATTGGTGCTGGAGAATGTGAAATGCGAGTCATGATCAAGAGGTTCAAAGCTGTTCTTCAAAACAGGCTGATTAAAGTAGTGCTAGTTCTGCATGGTCCAGATTTGAGATGCAAATGACCATCCACAGGAAGATTTCTTTCATTTCCATTCTGCTACAGTTTTCATAATACAACTATTCATGCTTCAGGCCTTTTGGATTTTCTTTGTGCTTTTCTCATTCCTTTATTACATGTTCCTG